AGTAGTAGTAGTAGTAGTAGTAGTAGTAGTAGTAGTAGTAGTAGTAGTATACTCGCGATACACCTGCTGCACCCTCGTTTACTTCTCCCCACACTTGGATATAATGTTATGACCTAGTCAAGAAGACTGGATATGGGAGAGGGCACAAGTGGCTGGCGCGACCGGAACCGCTCCTAAGCATACAGCATTCGATAGGAAGACGTTTTCGTGAACATTTCACTGAAGAAACGATACTTCCAGCCTGCGGTGAGGAAAGTAAGGTACATCCCTAGCCTTTAGATTTCTTATTTTGTACATTTATTTGCAATCATTTCACATGCTCGTAGGAATAACATGCGTTTCACCACCGAAGTAAGAACGGCCACAATGCGAGGAAGGATTTCTCGAAGACTAACTGAAGCAGACCTTACCGACAATTGGAAGAAACTTAGCGTCAACCCAACCATTGAGACATTAAATAATACCTTGCAACCCTCTATTCTTGAAAGTGAACGCCTGAGACGCTGCAGCAAGGCGGCAAGACAAGTTCTCATATCGGCTCACGGCTAACAGTCACTTGCTTTATGCAGTTTAGCGCAAGCTTGGACCACGGTTGTGGCGTGTACGTTCGACGAAATTCGGCATTCTCTGCAGCCTACCACTGTTCCGCTCATACATACATTTCCGGTTTACCGAAACCTCGCAGCCTTCCGGTCAGGTCTTCAGTGTGTTTGAGTTCCGACACACATCCAGTGGTGTTTTGCTTCAAGAAGAAGCCCTGTGTCGTCCAACTGGTTGGTGGATCAATATAAAATTTTAAAATGCCGAAGGACTTGGTACGTTAGTCTCCAGCCCAACTATATATAGAATCGCACCAATACCATCCTATCCGTTGAGTCGCCCGTCAAAAACCATCCAGCCGTAGTCCTCTTGCAAGTAAAACGTCTCAAGCTAGTGTGAACACCAAATGGACCAAGTATATTTTTCACCATCAATCCTATCAAAAAGTCCCTGTCCGCCCAAAGAATGTACTTATACCTCCACTTTTATGTCGGAAACCCCGCCAGGCTTCTGTCGACTCGGTTGTCCCCAAAGTATTGTGCCGTGCTGCCATTGTGATACCGCACGGACAGATGGCACCCTGCGTTACTCGGACTGCGCTGAGACACTACTTGCTACTTTACACGCACAAGA